CCTCTCCCTCATACTCCCCCACATCTCCGTCCTACTCCCCCTCCAGTCCCCGTTACACCCCACAGTCGCCCACCTACACACCCAGCTCGCCCTCATACAGCCCCAGCTCCCCATCCTACTCCCCCACCTCGCCCAAATACACCCCGACTTCCCCCTCATACAGCCCCAGCTCCCCGGAATACACCCCCACCTCACCCAAATACTCCCCCACCTCACCAAAGTACTCCCCGACATCACCGAAGTACTCGCCCACATCTCCCACCTACTCCCCCACGACTCCAAAATACAGCCCCACCTCTCCTACCTACTCCCCCACCTCCCCCACCTACACCCCCACCAGCCCCAAATACTCCCCCACCTCCCCGACTTACTCCCCAACTTCACCCAAGTACTCTCCCACGTCTCCTACGTACTCACCAACTAGTCCTAAGGGCTCCACATACAGCCCCACCTCCCCCGGATACAGCCCCACCTCACCCACCTACAGCCCGGCCATCAGCCCCGATGACAGCGATGAAGAGAACAACTGATGAGCCGTGGAGGAGAAGAGGGGGCAGCTGAAGAAACCTTTTTCACCTCGTGGTTGACAACTGAAGGACAGCACCTTTACCCAGCCGGAGGAGGTGGTGGCGCCTCTAGCCACAGGCGTCCCAACTGTGATCTTTTCTACGAGGAAATCTCAACCTTGGGACCTGTGGCTTCACCATCTGAGGGAGCTGCCCCCTTCCCCCCCCCAACACCTTTACAAAATGTTCTAAACTATTATGTGAAAGACTTGAACAGCTTTGCCTGAAGGAAAAAAAAAAAGGCTGCCTTTTGAAATAGTTTTTTAATTTTCACTTGGGGTGTTGAAGCGAAACTGAGAATCCCTAGAGGGAATGAAAAGGAGAGGAAGATGTGGTGAACATTCAAGGGGGAGGAAAAGTCCCTTTTTAACTTTATAGTGTACTGCATCCAGTCTCTCTCTCTCACTCTCTAAATGTCGGGTGTGTAGTTGTTCCTCGAAAGCATATATATTGCCAAAAGCCTTTCTGAAGAGTGGATTGTATTCATTTACTAAAGCATAAGCTGTAAAGAAAATCAAGGGGGCAACGTTTAGACTTTGTTTACTGCATATTTCACCAAGTTGTTAGACCTTTTTGCTGCTTTTGTAAAAGTACAGTTGCTGCCAGTTTCGGGAGCAACCCGTGGATGAAAGAAGACGGAGCATGAGTGCGATATATTAAAAAAAACAATGGGTCTGATTGTCGAAAGGAAAAGAAACGTGGGATCATAAGCAGAAGTACATACATTATAGGAGAGAGAAACTGGTTCGCAGGGAGAAGATATTTCACTCTAAACATCATCAACTACATAAGTCTATGTACCTGTCGCCCTCCCCTCTTCCTCCTTCGCACCCCAGAGACCTGAAAGATGTCACAAAAAAAACACCCACCAGCATTCTCTTGCCCCCCCTCTACCATTTTGGAGACTTGTGCATCAAAAGCAAGAAAAAAAACAACAAAAAAAAACATCTTTTCCAGATAATAATCTGTCATTGACACTCTGGATTTAAAGATAAAAAAATAGTCAATTATTCTTTCTTTATTTTGAGTGTAGGAGGAAACACATGGATGCTAGTTTGGCCTTGCTGCTTTTGTCATTGTTTGCATGAGTAGCACATGTTAATACATTTTAATCAAGCTTTAGGTTGACTTTTTTTTTTTTTTTTAAACCCCTCCAACTTCTTGCGAATCTCTGTCCCATTTCTGATAGCTAAAGTGTACACAGGCTTATTTGGACTATTCAGTTTATTTAAGAAAGAAAGTTAACTAATATTCTGTGTGAATATAAATAGAGAAAAATTACGAATTTAAATTTTTTTTTGGGCTTTTCTCTTGTTTGCTTTTGGTGATTTATTTTTTTTTGTAAACCTGTTTGCAGGAGGCTAATATTCATATTCTGTGGATGAAGGGGCAGGGCAGGAGAGGGAGGGGAGTACTTTTAAAATTTTCGCTGCCGTTCTTCCTCCAAATTGGCCTTAGTTTTTTTTTTTTTTTTCGCGCTTTTCGCTCACAACATATTGCACTCTGCCACCAGGTTTTGTGACGTTGCTTCAGTCAAAAGATAGAAGAGTTAAAGGTTCAGTGTTAAAATTTCATGTTTTCACGTCTTGGGATGGCCTTTCTCTTCACTACAGTGAAACATTCTTTTTTTTTTTTTTTTAGCAGAGATCGTCCAAAGAAAACAGTACTTTCGGGCTCTCTATTAAGAAACCTTACCCACTACATTAGTGTGAACTTTCTTTTCAAGTTTGACTGCGTTAGGAAGCGTCTGTATGCCAGGTGAGAGTTTTGTTTTCCTCGTTCCATTTGATCATTCAACACGGTTTGAGTTTATCAGACTTGCCGGGTCTCCTCCCTCTTCCCTCTTCATTCACAAGTCTCCTTTCTGAAATCAGTGTTTTTGTTTTTTTTTTTTCTACCAGTGTATGTACCTGTGATGAGGGGGAATCATGGGGAGGGGGAAGATATTGACTGGGAGTCCTGAGGAGGAGATAAAAAAAATGTCTTTGGGTTCTGTTCTGAAAGTCTTTAAATGATTTGTCTAAGTTTGTGAAACACTGCTTCCCAGTTAGTCTTGAATTTAAAGGACTGCATTCTCTGGCCTTTGACATAAAGCAGGTTTGTTAATTGCACTTAGTAAATATTGTGGTGGACTTCAACCCCCCCCAGACATTGTGATATTTTTTTGGTCCACTATGCTCGCATCCGATCCTGTTGTCTTAAATGTGTGCTGTCCAGTCTGTTCAGGACATCAGGACTCCCAGGCGAATGAATGTCTGTCTGTATGCGTGTGCGGTTAGTGTACGTCCCGAGGGCGATGCAGGGTTTCAAGCTGAGGAAAGACTTTACATGTCTGGGCAAAAGGAGGTTTAACTTAAATTTGCCACTGTATAGAAAATCAAGTCATTATCTCATTCTCTGTATCTTTGTTCTGTTTGTTTTTTGACTTGGAAAAAAATGAATAAAAGTTTTACTATATGTGTCTGTTTTAAGTGGTGGTGTTTTTTGTGCCATAAAAGGAGCACAAATGTGCTAATGTTGACAGAAACCAGCAATCAGAGAAAACAAATTTAGTGATTATGAGGATTTGTACTGGAATATATTTGCTTATTAGAGGCAGGGTGGGATCTATGTACAGTTGTCTAAATTTGGGGTCAATTAAACTTGAGATACTGCTTCAAATCTCTACTTTCCTGCATATCAGGTGGAATAAGATTGCTTCACTACATGAATCTGACAGCTACTGCGTTCTTTCCAGATGTAATGTTGGTTAATGAGCACAAAAATAAA